ATATACGAACAACCTTAGTTTCAACTATGACTTATTTGTTCGGGAAACCAACTTAAAAAACTCCACACGAGTGGCATATTGATATGATGGAAAAATGAAATTAGTCGGATTCTATATATTAGGGATTGAAAGAAGTGTAAACGGATATGGTAATTGTTTCGTGTAATTGACAACTTATATATATGTGGTAAATTATTTGTGTTAAATGTGATATATGGTTCTATTAAAAAAAATCATGCAAGTTTTGTGATGTTTCCATTAGTTACGACTTATTTTGATATAAGATAATAATGAATCTTGTAAATGAGATATGTTTTACTATTTGCTTAAATTTTTTCTAACATAAAAGAGAAATATTCGAATCCAAAAAGAACTGTTTTAACCGAATTTTTCTTAAAATTATATAAAAAAATTACGAAAGATATTTTTGTAGATATAATTGAATTCAGTATTGCAGTCAGAACATAAAGTATTTATTTTAAAAAATAAGAATTTTTTGTTATAGTTGAATGTTCCCTAAAAATTTAGTAACAATATATTAGCTTTTTTATTCTCCGATTGAGGAAAATCGGGTGGCATGTGTGATTGAAATTCTTTGACACGTGGTTTATTTATTTAGATGTGTTTCTATGCAATAAAATTTGGAATTTTTTTTTTATATAGATTTATATTTATCATTCATTCATATTTAGTTAAATAAGTTTGTTATTTATAATTTGTAAATTTGAATGGTGGATTTATAATTGGTCAAATAATATGTATACCAAAAATTCGGATTACATTTGTGTTAATTTTTGTTATCTTATGTATGTCAATCACAAAAGATGAAAATTTTTTAAGGGAATATTTCAATGTTTGTTTGATTATAGTATTCCAATGTATATGTGGAAAAAAATTATACATTAGGTTTTATTTAATCTATTATAAATAGTATTTTAATAATAAATTAGAATGACAAATAATGTTTTTTGGCCAAACATTATTGTAAAAAAAAATATCTCCATAATTATCCAAATAAAATAAGATAAACATGTTATGCCGGTTTTATTTACAAATTAAGTTATCGACCAGCCAACCAAAACTCTAATATATAAATGATTTGAATAATAACAGAATCCTTTACAGATGGAACTGGATTTCAAGCAATTTTTTCATGGAAAATTTGTATCAAATATATTATGAAATTTTGAAAAAGAGTAAACGTAATTCGTACCATAAATAATTAAAACTTTTCAAATCAGATATATTAAACACGTGAAAATCAAAACACATTCAAAATTTTAATCTAAATCAGATTTTCGGAAGAAGTAAGTCAAATGCTTTGACTCATATGTTTCTTTTATCAATTATTCACAAAATATTTATCGATCGACATCTTTCAATGTATATAGATATAGATAGGAGAAAAAATATTAATAACTCTAAATTAAATTAGAATTTATCTTTTTTTGTTTATTATTTATATTGTCGCATGTCTAAAGTCATATATGGACCGAATAAATGACACCCCCCCCCCCCC